TCGGCAGCAATCAAACTTCCAAAGCACGAAAAAGACATGCCTTGGCATATCCGAGTTTGTGTGAACCCAGTAGAGAAGAAACACCATCATGAGTAGTCGGGTCCCATGCCATTAAGGGGACCCGAGCAACTTCCATCGCAAACTCGGGAAGATGGTGTCTATTCGGTAGTTTTGGAGCTTCAACCTACTGGAAAGTTGAGTAATATTTCTCAACTATTCTCTCAGGCGGCTTCTTTCTCCTCATCAATCTTCAAATAGGAGGCCACGCTGACTTGCTGTTGTGCTCCAACCTCCTTTTCCCTCTCATTTTCTAGCACGATCGCCATCATGCTTATTTTTAGTCCTCATTTCATTCACAATAGGAGGGTTCTCAACACATGTCTTCTTTTGCCGCCTTAATGGTATTTCTTGCTCCTCGGGAACATCTGTCTCGATCTAGGTTCCCTTCGAGGTGACGACGACTTGCATATCCAACTAAGTAGCCTTGAGAGTCAGTTCTGGCCCAGCTTGGTTAACAACATCAATTACGACTACGGGGGTTGAACTCGGTGTTTGTCCAACAGCTTATCTCGGCCCAACGCCCCTGATGGCCGCACTCAAAGATACCTTAGCCCTAGTATCTGCGGCGACGCTACACTCGGTGTTTCTTCTCAGCGATCTAATCAAATTCTTGTGCACCATATCAGAAAGCCTTAGATCCTTGCTCTTGTCGCCTTAGTTCGCAAATCAAAGTTCAGACACTGATTTAGAAACACTTGAGCGTCCTCAACGGTCTTAAACCCAAAATAACCCAATAACGGGTAATAGACTACAAAAAATCAAGTACAATAAATCATCAAATTTAAATCCGAATGGGTCAAAAGCACAATCATGAAGATTAAAGATTGTACGTACCTGGATTAAAAGAAGAATAAAAAGCCCCGGGAGACAACCCGACACGTTCCAGTTCTGAATCCTTAACTAAATGTTTGTAATCTTCGACTTGTTATGTTTGAATAATTCTTGTAAGTGATTTCTCAGTTCATCACCGAGCTTAGGCTCCTTTGTTCGTTTGGCTACAAGTATGAACAATAGCAACCTGTTAGTACAAGGAAAACAATTCGGGATTTAAACAAGTGAGAATAAAAATTGAACTTACCATACGAAGAGGTAACATTAGTCGGGATAGTCATCCCGCCTATCAGAGTTTTATTAAAGAAGTCTGCGGATTTCCAGTCTCTACCGATCCACAACCACTCCTCCTGGAAACCGTTGTCTGAAATTTCTGTCACCAAATCGCCGACTTTCTGTCACCAACGGATCCGCCACTTTCCTGCTCAGACTTTTCTTAAAAGAAAATAGGCTCCTCATATTAGATGCCGAAGAAAAATCCCAACCTTTTTAAAAGATAAAAGAACCATCAATCCGATGATCCTTATCTAGATATTTGGTGCAATATGGCATAAGCGTAACTCCTAATCAAGCAAATAATCAGTGATCAGATTAGAAAGGGGGAACCTTAGCCACGACCATAGACTCTCAGCGAAAATTCCGACACACCCAGGAGGTGGACAAGTGATTGTCTTTTCTGGGTACGCTGCAAACAACTTCACCGAAGACAAAACTTAAACATGCTCTCGAAGTAATACCACGTCGGCATCAGTAAGAATGCTTAGCTCACCCAACAAATCCGCACCAACATCTGGCCACCGACGTGTGGGTCGCCTCTAGTATTCCGACAACACAATCACGTCTTTTTCTACTTCCAAATCGCCCTCGATATAATCTTTCTAATGTCGACGTTCAACAAGAATTGGATCCCATCGATGATATTCCAGCGCCAATTCTAAGTCCTCCGAGTCTAATATCCCCACGGAGATTGTTCTGCTACTTCTACTGCTACTAAGCGACACTTGTTCCTCATTCACGGAAGTCATTTTTTGACGAGAAAAAAAGAAAAAAATCGACGCAAATAACAATAAGAAAGGAAAATTGAAATCGACTTACCAAGTCGTCAAAATGCTAAAGTGTAAACGAAGGACAATTACTCAAATTTGCAATTGAAGCAGAAGGAAGCAATAGAAATCGAAGAACACAGAAATTTAAAATCTTGAGAGTTCAGAGATTGCGAAGATAAAATCCAGAAAGGTTCAAAGTTTGAATATATATACACCCCGTTTCGTAATCGTTGGAAGAGATAGGGGTACGTATAGAAAACTCACCTCCTCAAACAACACGATACGACTTTTAAAGCGCAAGGCAATCAGGAACATACACGTGGATGTCTATTTGTATCTGTTAAAACACCTTAAAAAATAGCACGCCTTTTCATGAACGGACGCATTGATACAGAGCCGTTACGCGTTTCAACTTGAGGAAAAAATAATTCCAAATTCGCACCAAAGCGTCCCAACGTCGGATAATAAGCAAACGTCGGGCCAAACACAGAGTCAAAGTAAACATCAAAGAGTACTTCAAATCGAATTATATATATAAAAACGACATTAGCATCCACCACTGTTCGTATGCCTACTAATGTTAGGGGCCTCCCTGTTGATAACCGACCGGATAAGCCGTAGTTAAATGGAGATTTAACGATATAATTCGAATATCGTCACTCAAACCGGCTGATACATCCAACTTGGTGCAACTCAGTAGAAGTCATTTGAAGAACTGAGGTCCTAAACTGAAACCGACGTCCAGAGAAATCGAGATTGAAGCTGGTGACGAGGCCCCCATACAATTTGACCATGAATACTTTTATAATCATTGCAAAACACCCGCCGACCGACCAGCCGCTTCATAAAGCTACTTTGCACTAAATGCGATCACTTCAACCTCGAACAACGGGCCGTCAAATGATACTGTAAATAGCATAATTCATTGTTGTACGAGGATATTTTTGGCAAACATTCAATACGCATATACAAAAACAACTCGGCTCACATAAAACCGATTTCTTGTATCATGAAATTACTCATATATAATATATATTCTTTCTTTTACACATGGATTACAAGTTATTATCGTTGTTAAATATCGTATAACAACACATTATTTTCTTAGAATCACATGATATTATGGTTGAGGTGTGTGGTGTGTGTAACTATGAGTTAGAACTTCTGACCTTTAGACAACACCATTCTGTCGGAAGAAGATAAGGTAAGACTTTGTGACCTTTGGACAATACCATTCTTGTCAGAATAAGCAGATCTACGATCCCGACCTTTGGACAGTACCATTCTGTCGGGGCAAGCAGTTGAGCATTTAGTTCATGTTGCATGCTAATATTATGGTGTTTGTTATTATATTGAATATGTGCGTAGTATGTGGCCTCATTGAGCTTATGGTTTGCTCGTCCCTTATTTTTCCTACCTTTCAGGTTGAACAAGTTGGTGTCAGTCACGATGGAGATGGTGGTCTATTTAGTTGCGATTTTATGTTATTTATGAACTTTTAGAATTATGCATGAGATTATTTCGAGACTCGTTTTGAGAATTATTTTCGAACCTTGTTTGAGTTTTTACGAGAATTATTTATTATTTGAGTATGAGTTGAATTTTTGAGAAGTTGTGTTAGCAGTAGAGAAAAGCGAGTTCCCGTAAGATTACAAGAGCAAGTTTTGAGCAAAGTTTTTATAAGAAAATAAAGTTTTTGCAAAGTTAAGAAGAAGAAGTTCTACCTTCAGTACCCTAGAGTTTCAAAATGTTTTTGAAAAGCGAAAAATATATATGAAATTTAGAAGCTTTCAAAAGATAATTAGAAGGTGCTTACAGTAACTTTACTCTGTGAAAATATAGGTACCAACATAATTTACAACCACTTTCCCGCAGTTAATGCCAGGCTCCGATTTTTTTATATATATATATATATAAATAACAATTAAAGAATGCAGTATTAATCCTAAATGACAGAATCACCCTTGTTTCACAACTGAGGAATGTTTTACCTACAAATGACAAAATGACCGCACGCAAAAAATTCACACCACTTGAAAATGTTCCCCCATAAATGTGTTGATCTAAGGCTAGGATTGTTGCACTTAAGAGTACATCCAAAACCATTTGAGTCTGCAAAATTACTATATAGAAGTGAACAATCCCAAGATGCCATCGCGCTTTGCCAACCACCTCCAACAGTACAAGTCAGTATCCGACTCACAACAACCTATCCACGGCTACTCAGCTCAGCTGTTAAGACAGAAATCAGGCGTCTAAGAAGACTAAAACTAAAACTCCACACCACATGATCACTTGATTTCCTTGGGCTCGACTGTAAATTCCAGGCATCAAGAACAAGCAGCTTTGCGGGAAAAATTTATAACTGTCCTTTTTTAATAAAGATTTTACAAAACAGTTACTAGCCATACACAGTTCCCAATCTACTCCAAACAGTAGACAAAATTGCTTGAATAGAAAGTTACATCATTTCAAAATTCAACTACTCTCTCTCTTTCTCTCTCTTATCTAACTGCTCTCTTTCTCTCTCTTATTTCTCTCTTACATCTCGTTTCATTCTTTTCTCTCTCTTCTTCCCTTTATTCATCATCTTCATCTTCTCCTGAAAAAAAAAAAAATTAATTATATATATATACATACATAAAAAAAAATAACATAACAATCCACAACATAAAAATTGAGATAAATATGAAGAACTGAAAAACCTTCGATATAACAAGAAAACCACAACATAATAACATAAAAGTAACATGAAAACAACCATAACAACATCCAAAGTAACATGAGAAAAACCATAACAATCCAGAGAATAACAAACCTCAACATAAACAAAAATCAACAGGCACATAATGAATGAAAATAATTTCCATAGACTTCCTCTAAAAACTCAAGCCGATCGTTCAAGGAGTGCGAATCGAAGGCTAATAATCGTCATAAAAATCGTAAAAACACACCAAGCTTGAAAAATAGAAAATTATTAAAAATTGTCCCTACCGATTGAACCCAAAGATGCCCCGTCGTTGAGCCGTAACGACGACGAGCAGCCGGAGGTAGTAGATCCTTTTATGACGATTTGCTATTCGAAACTTGCACGCCCATTCCAAACACGCTGACGTCTGGAATTTGGAATCTGAGCAGCGAGAATATGGCAACATGCTGCTTGCGAACTGATTCGAATGCTGCATCTATGATTGACCCTGTTGCATAACGTCGAGTAGAATATGAAATATATATTTTTCAAGGGAATTTTCAAGAACTTCAAGCAGTCCATCATTTCGAAAAAAATTGGGATGCGGATTTGATGAAAATATTTGAGAAAATTAGATTAGGGGAAATCTGTAAATTGGAAGAAGAAGAAGAAGAATCGAAAGAGAAGAAAAAAAATGAAAATGGAAGAATTAAAGAAAAAGAGAAAAGAAGAAGAAATTAGAAGAAGAAGAAAACGAGATGGAGGAAAAATTTAGATCCAGAAGAAAGATAAGATGAGGTTTATAAAAGGTTAAATAAGAATTAAAAAACGAAAATAAACAAAATAAAAAAAATAATAACTGATATTTGGAGTATAAATGAAAATCAAAAAGAGTGTATTTGACTTAATAATAAAGGGGTGCAGTTATGTAAAAACTTTTTTCAAAAGGATAGCTGGCGTCAATATTTCCAGCTTTGCTCATATGGAGTGGTCAGACAGAAAGCACATAGTTGGTGACCCATTCGTATTTACATGGACATGATGTGGTAGTATACATACTGTCCCTTATAACTCTTATTCTACCTCCAGCACAACAATGACGTAAAAAGCGAATTACTAAAATTTGGTGTTTCACATGTTTCATTTACTTATTGTGAAGGCTGTAGTAGGCCGGAAATAAATGTCTCTTTGAGAGTCATGACATACTTTTCATATAGAACACAACATTCAAACCTTAAAAAAAAGTGATACACGATCTTCACATTCAAAGGTTCTCATGGCATGCATGCTATACAAGATGTTCAAATCAAATCATGTGCGTATAACCATAATATTCTGTGCAAGAGAATACATGACTATAGATATTACCCATAATAGCTGATAAACATATCGCCCACAAGGACAAACAAGAACACTTAATTGCTATGAACCAGTTACCCAAACATAATTCATTACGAGTACAAAACAACTTCAAAGTCCGACTCATTAAGAGTACATATCAATCAAACTCATAAACCGAAAGTAAAAGTTGAATGTAAATGAACTATTCAGAATCATCAACACAAAAACAAACAGGAAGATAATAAGTATCCAACTGCCAGTATTTGTGTTTCACACCCTCCCAAGTTTCTTCTCCTAAACATTCCTTAACAGGTAAAGGTATCAGCTGTGTCGAGTAACCCAAATTCTCTAGTTCCAAGGCAACTAACTGACAGTAAACCATATGAAAGAATGGATTATCTCCACAAAGACCATTGAAGAAGGAATATATTCCCCCATGCTTCAATAGTTGCGGAAGATGTTGATGAAATTGTCTCATATCTTCATAATATTCACCATACGTGTCAAAAAATATACCTGAAAAATTGAATAAGTCATTATTTATAGTTAAGGATGCAATTGATGGAGTTGTTTCAATAAGATGAGATAAAAGTAAATAAAACACTTTAAAATGGGAAGAATCTCAGAACCATGGAAGCCACAAAGAGATAACTTAACATTTGACAATTTGCTAATGAGGAAAATAGGAAATGAATACAGATATTAACACCACTACATAACCCACAGTCCCACACACCTTGAATATACATCAATGGAAGGGTATGTAAGGAAAACCTCCCGAGGTTTCAATAAACAGGCCTGCCTTTGCAATCGTATGTTCACTTGACATATCCTCACTCAAAGTGAACAAGAATATATATTTTACTAAAATATTATTATATAAAGAAAACATATGTCTCACAACTCAAAGCCTCAGAAACACAACAAAAATTTAAATGGTTTCCTTTTGCATCACGATAAAAATAAACAACCTCAAAAAAAGTATAAATTGTATGTAATTGTATTACCATCGTATGATTCCAGCTGAGACAGGACATCCTGCCACCGACCAAATATTATCTTCACATTCTTTTTCTCACCCCACCCAGTCTGGAGCATACGAGCGTAAACCTCAGGGTGAGCTTCAACAATAGTATGACACACGGGTGAGTATTGTTGAATGGCGGTATCCACAAGACCCATGCCAAAACCAATGTTCAATATGTGCCCACCTCTTGAACAAATAGCCTTTGCATGAGCTTCCATTAACGGCTTCTCCCAAGCCATCATAACAGCCTTGCTTTCTGTGTCCATGACCTTATCCTCACTAAAAGTAACTCTGTCTTCCAAATAACATCCATTGGACTTACCATCTGAATTATCTTTCCTAGCTATAGTTCCAAGAATTAATTCAGCTTGTATCCCTGTAAGTAACCAAAAGCCTTGTCACCAAATTACAGAATTACATACAATGAAGCAATGGTATTGCATCAAGCAATTAGACAACTATAACTAGTAGTGCTATGCACGAGTGTTATATGAATATTTTTTACTTAAAAAGTTAAAACAATATAAGTTTTTATTCAAATTTTCAAATACTTTCTAATATTATTATTTTTTTATTTAAAATGCTACTCATCGCCTGCAAGATTTTCACGTCCTATTTTATAATTTTTTTTAACTCATATTGCATAATAGACTTGATAGATAAATTTAATTAATAATTTATATTTTATTATATTCCAATAAGGATAAATTAGATATGTTAATTTTCATTTATAAAGGTAGATACAATTATTTATATGTGATATGGATATTAATCGAAAACCGTCAAAAGACGATCAATTTGTTATATCATGTATAAAAATCAATAATAAATAAGAAAATTAGCAAGTTCAAAAGTCCAATTAGCCATGGATAAAAAGTCCAATTAGCCATGGATAAAAAGTCCTATATGTGATAAGGTATTGCACTTAATTTCTAGAATATATTTATAATTTAAATTGATCAAGTGTTTTGTAATTTCAAAAGTCCTATTAGCCATGGATAAAAAGTCCAAATCTACATGCACTATGAAACGCCAAAATTTGACACATAGGATTACGAAGCACCAAAAATTGACACAAAGGATTATAAATCACCAGAAATCGACATATAGGTTCAAAAAACTTTGCATTCAAATATAGGAGGTATACAAACACTAGCCCATTTTTTTACCCCAAGGTGGCTAACAGCACCTTAAAATCTGTTTCTCCTGTTGTTTGTTTTCATCATGAAGAGACCAGTAACTAACATGGTAACACTTATTACAATGCCCCAAAACTAAAATAATTATATTGCACAAAAGATAATAATAACGATCAACAAAAGATGACACCCTTAATTTCAAGTTTCATGTAACTCAGGTTTTTACCGAAGGAATTATTGATATATATTATGGTAATTGTCATTATTTACTTAGTGATACACTCTATACTATACATGAATATTCCATAACCAGACCTTCACCTTGTTTCTGGTTTAATTAATAGAGGGTTTGAGCTTTGCAAAATATCATAAACAGGTTGCACCAAAAATGAAGTGAAGACACTGAAAATATGGTCTTCACTTAGATCAGGCAATATCAAACTCCAATAATTATAGACTCAAACTACAACTTCATTCAGTTTGACTACTGGTGTAGACTAAAATAATCAAATAATGGATAGCTCTGCATAGTGCATAACACTAAAAATCTTAAATGCCATCAACCTACTATTATGGAGGCAGAGGTTTACATTGGGATACAGCCATACCTCCAAACTTGACAGTATTCTACATGATACATAGCATACAGCTGCTAGTAGATGAAATGGTAAGAGTGGTTATAGTCTGCCATTTCCAATCCATTTAAGAGGGCTCAAATCTTCAGAATGAGTTTCTGTCCAATCTCTTTTATAGTGTACAGTACACAAAGGCAAACATTTTGCAGTGACATGGTATCCCACTCAGTTTCCATATTGATAACAAATGCCCACCGTTGTTGAGACGTCGTAGTCAAGCAGTCATGCAAGCAGACGTCAACATTGAAATATGAGGAAGAAGCGCAATTCTCACTTGCTATTACGTTTCCCGCTTTTCTTATTTTTTTGTTTTTTTGTATTTCGTTTTATTTCTCTCAAGGGCGTGTCTTACTTAGAGGGTCATATTTTCGTTATAGTCCAGTAACTTAGTACAAACTTAATAAACTTGATGTGTTCAAAGTGCGAGCTGGAGATTCTTTTGTACACTACACACTGAAACCGAGCTCTGATGCCATTGAGATTAAAGCAAGTTTCACCATTTTATGTGAACAAATATTTTGGGAAATAACATGATGACTGTCTTTTTATCAAAAAGGCAAATAACAGGTTCTAGCACTCCTCATTTATGTTGATGATGGGCTTATTACAGGTTCTTTGCTGGATATCCAACATCTCAAATTGTACCTCAATGATCTATCCACAATAAAGGATTTGGGAAAAGCCAAGCACTTTCTGGGACTTGACAATGAAAGAACTTACCACAGTAAGAGAAAATACATCCTTTACATAGGTAAAGATCTAGGGATGGAGAACTCAAAATCAGTGATCAGGTGTACTTCCACAAGGTCTCACTACTCAAGATTCACCACTCCTCACTCTTTCAGACACATAAAGAAGATCTTCTAGGAGGTTGCTTTACCTCAATTTATCTCGGCCAGACATATCTTATGCTGTCCAACAACTGAGCCACTTTGTACAAGCCCCAACAAAAGCTCAATGGACAACAGCCATGCGCTTGGTAAAATATCTGACAGGGAACCATACTTTGGGCCTCGATTGTGCAGCCAAGCCTTCATTAAAATTGGAGGATTTTTATGATGTAGATTGGGGCAGATGTGCCCTCACCAGGATGTCCCTTACAGGTTATTGCATATTCCTGGGGCAAGCCTTGATCTCCTGGAAAAAAAAGAGGCAAAAGAAGTCTCACACTCTTCACCTGAGGCAGAATAGAGATCACCTGAGGCAGGATAGAGATCCATGGCCACCATGGTGTGTGAACTTCAATGGCTTTCCCTTTTAGCCAAGGATTTGGATATTTAGCTTCATCATCCCATTCCTCTAGTGTGACAACAAGGCTGCACTCCATATGACTACCCCATATCACTGCCAATCAGGTATTTCACAAGCACCCTAAAAACCTTGACATAAGCTGCACGTGGTCCACAACAAATTCAAAGAAGGCTTTATTTTTCCACAGCACTTGTCTTTTTGCCTACAGAGTTGCATACCTTTTAATAAAAGCCTCTGGCGGGAGAGATTTTAAGCGATTTCTTTGCAAGTTGGGCATGTGTTCAAATTCCCACATTCCCACTTGAGGGGGAGGTAGGGGGTGTTGAGAAGTCGTACTCATGCAGTCATGCAAGCAGACGTCGACATCGAAGAATGAGGAAGAAGTGCAATTCTCACTTGCGATTAATGTTTCCTGCTTATCATTTTTTTTTCATCTTTGTATTTTCTTTTATTTCTCTCAAAGACATGTCTTTCTTAGGCGTATCTTCGTTTCTTTAATTAGTCCATCAACTTAGTACGTGTCCGCTAACTATTGGCCATACCAAACCTGATGTGTTCAAAATGTGAGTTGAGGGTTCTTTTGTACGCTACACACTGAAACCGAGCGCAGATGCTTCATTAATGGTGATATGAAATTATCAGAAAATTCCCAAAATATCTGTTCACATAAAATGATGAAACTTGATTGAATCTATTATCCTGCCTATCAATAGAGATGTTAAATACAATAGCTCTGTATAAATCTTGTGAGAAAAGTTTGCAACTTTCCATTTACAAAGTTGTTTTCAATTGTTAGAAACAACAGAGCCCAACAAATTACTGGTCATTGTATCAAAATAAACAGAAAAAATACAAGGTAAAACAACCCAAATTATACTACAAATTCCAATAAAGCAAAAAACAAACTGTATGTCATTCCCAAACATATTATCAAATGCACAAATATTTTAACACCCAAAAATTATTAGAAGAACAGGGTTAACCAGACATTCAACAACAAACTTAAAAGACGGACCTGCGTTGAGAATGATGTCGAAGGCGGACTGGTGGCCATTTTCCATGGCAAAGTCTCCGGCGGATAGATTGGAAGGGGAGAGCGCATTCCATGGTGCGCCACCGTCGAGGAGTGCCTTCACCACCTCCGGACAGCCATTTTTCGCGGCGTACATCAGTGGTGTTTGGCCAGTGCTATCGAAGTACGTGACGTCAGCACCGGATACAATCAAGGATTTTACTCTCACAACGTCGCCATTTCTGGCTGCTAGGCAAAGCGATTCTTCTCTGTTATCCTCCATAGTTGCAGCAAGTTGGGTTAAATTCTCTTATTATCGTATTGAGATTTTAATGTTGCAAATCAAACCCGAGTGTTTTGTCAAAGTAAAAGGCGGCTGTGGATTGCTCTATTTTGTGTCCAAAAATTCAATATTTCATTTAAAATATCTAGAAGTCTTCTTGGAGGAGAAAAACGTTACATCTTCTATTTTATATTATATTATTTATTATTTATTATATATTTCTCTTTACCCACCTGGGTAGTTTATTTATTTTAAAAAAAATAAGTAGACAAAAATAAAAAAAATAAAAAATAAAAGTCGACCAAAATAAAACAGCCGTATTCTCAAAATACGTTTTCTTAAAAAAAATTAATCAAGAAAACGTATTACGAGAATACGTTTTAAAAAAAAGTAAAATGTATTTTTAAAAAAAAAAACATTTTAAAAAAAAACAAATAGGCAAATAATAATTAAAATGTATTTTTATAAAACGTAGTTTGAAAATACGTTTTTTTACAAAACGTATTATGAAAATACGTTTCAAAAGAAAAATAAATTTTTTTTGAAAAAAAAATAATATTTTATTAAACCGTATTCTGAGAATACGTTTTACAATTAAATTGTCGGTAAACGTATTCTGAGAATACGTTTTTTACGTTTAATATATATAAAAAATAAATAAATAAATAAATAAATCTCTTCCTCTCCATTTCATTCACGCAAAACACGAACAGAAACGAAAAAAAGAAGCAAGAGAGCGATTTTTCTGCGTGAAAAAAAAAAAAAAAAAA